TGGTTTTGCTATTTTTTGCTCCTCACTTTGCTTCAGTTTATTACCTGCTTTATCAGGGTTCACCACAGCAGAATGAACTGCCAATTACTCTGGTATATGTTTTACAGACAGATTTACCTTTCCAGCTGCGACCACACACAATCTCTCATTATAGACTTAGGTCAATTTTGTTTATCCAATTCACCTAGAGTGCATTCCTTTAGACTGTGGGGGAAACAGGAGCTTTGGGGGAAATCCACACAAACAGAACATGCAAACTCCAGAGAGAAACACCTCCTGGACTTGGATTTGAACTATTGACCTTCTTTCTGCGAAATGACAATGCTAACCACTGAGCCACAGTGATGTCCATTTTTTCCCCTTTGATGACATATTGAGTAAAGCCGCTCCACATACAAAAACAAGAATACAGTATTTTATTGCACATAAAACATAAGTCTATTGTCTCTATGGGTGTCATAAATGCACTGGGTTTTATGGATTAAATGTAATGTAATTATATAATAAAATGACAATCCATGAGCATTTTTTTTCAAAGTATTCCATTCAAAGTATTTCCAAAGTAATATGTTTTTACAGTATTCTCTCATTTGACCAGCATTCAGTGACCTGACGACCAACTCTTACTGATTAAATATATGTATGTGTATTCATTGGAACTACACTAATAAAATGTTTAAAAGCATGAATTGTATACAATGAATATTACTGGCGTTCATTGCTTTCTTGAACCCTTTTTTAAACTAAAATCATATATATTTAAAACATTTTTGGACATTTTTTTCTTTAGCACAAAACTACAGTAGAGACACAGTTAGACTGCAGAAACATGTTCATGTGTAATATAAACAAGAAAACAATGCTGTTGGCGTTATATTTGAACTGTATAGACAAAGAAGGGCTATAGTCCTCTGGTCACGTTTCGTTTCTCTCAAGATTTGTTTTCCTTCATTATCCAGCAACAAATGGAGTTGCCTTTGGCCTGCACACCAGGGGACTAAAGATGTCTTGAATATCAATTAACTTCTAGCTGAATTGATTAAGGGTGAGCGATGTGACCAAAACCTTAAACCCTGATATGGGCCATTTTAAACACTGCAATAATAATGTTTGGTTTGTCATAACAAACTTGTACTAAATAAAAACCAAAAGAATATCTTAATCCTTGATATGAATGCAAAAATTACTAAATTCTGCAGACAACTAAATGTATATCCAGTTTAAATACAAAAGCAAAAACAAATACTCACATTATGTAATTTATAGCACACCTAGAGTGTGGAGTGCTTACTATTTTTTTTTGGTAGAAGTCGCAAGTTCTTCACAAGAAGCTTAGGACCATGATTTCTTTTGGAAAATCCATAAATACCAGTTTTTTTTTTTTCCCTGAGGCATAAAACACAGTTGCTGCAGCTCTGACATCAAAACCTTGAAAACCAGAGTTCCAGATAATTCAGAAGTTGGATGTTTGCCAATTCCCACTTTGGTTGGAATAAAAGGATGGCTTGAGATGATATATACACACACACACACACACACACACGCACGCAAACATGCACACACACACACACACACACACACACACACACATATATATATATATATATATATATATATATATATATATATATATATGTGTGTGTGTGTGTGTGTGTGTGTGTGTATAATTTATTATTTATTAGTTTATCTATCTTTTTATTTATTTATCTATTTATTTAATTAACTCATATTTATGGTCCATGAATGAATACATTCTTTTTTCAACTACACTTGAATGCACCATAATATCTAGATGTCTTCTCCAAATTGAACTTTCAATCTGCAATATATACAACGGATAATTAATGCGTCAATGAATGCATTTTCACCTGTTTTGCTAGTTTATACAATCTTTAACATCTACATTCGACATTAAACAGTTCAGGAAAAACAAATGACTTTTGAAGAGATTAAAGAGATTTTGGAATAGTCTGAATGTTGTTTAAATTCATGATTTCACCATAATTGTCACGACACCATATTTTGGTGTAAATTATTGACACTATTCTCATGAAGCCTAACATTTAAAGTCAGAATCATTGCAGAAGGCCTGGAATCACGAATAATTACTGCGATTGATAATTTGTAAAAATTTTTTGAATGCTTCAAAAGTTACTAGATGATAAAGTTTAGGCTGTGAGAGTGTGTAGTTACGGCGATGTTAAAGTGTCTTAAAGTTATGTTTATCAAAGTCCTTATTTACTAATGCTTATTTATTCATTCGTATTTTTACTTGCATCCCAAAATCATCTACATCTACAAATATCTATTTTTACCTGAGCCAAATGACATTAAGTCTAATCTTGTATTAATAATAATCAAAATGAATGATGCTTAAAATAAAACTTGCTTCCCTTTTGAATTATGTTGTATTAAGCAAAAACCTTTTTATATAATGTTCTTCAGATAACTACATTTAAAGAGAATGTTTACCTTAAAATACTTTTCACAAATTTGTTTGTTTTTTCTTTCATATGTTGAACACAAACAAAGATATTTTGAAGGATGCTGAAAATGTAACTGACTTCCATAGTATGTTTCCTACTACTGAAGTCAATGGTTAAATGTTTCCAACATTCAGTGTATAGAATTAATGGATCCACAAGTCAACCTAAAACAATTAAGTTGTCCCCTAAAAAAATCAAGAATTGTGTTTGGTAAGTTAATTTTTTAAAGAGTAATTTAAATAAACAGCAAATATTTTAAGTGGTTTTCACAATATCTTAATTTGTGTTTAAAACAAAAAGAAAACACAAAGAGGTTTGGAAGCACCCAAGAGTGAGTAGGGGAGCGCGAGACACAAAGTAACACAGGGTAAAATTTAACATATTGAGTTTTAAGCTATTTGCTCAGGGTTAACCATGGCATGCTTCTGAGGTTTTCACCAAGATGTCAGCAGACATCTTCCTTACAATTATTGAAAAAGTTCGGCAAAATTTGGATAAGAAACACAGGAGAAACTTTTTGCAGCATAAATGTTTTTTTGTTTTGTTTTTTTTATTATATTTATTTTTTTAAAAATCTGTGCAAGTATGTACGTAAAATCTTATGTTGTTGTGATTACCGTCTATTAGGCCAATGGTTCTCAAAGTGGGGGTCGGGACCCCCCGAGGGGTCGTGGGACAATGAAGGGGGGTCGCCTGGTGATTTCCAAAAATCTTTTTATTTTTATTAAACAATAAGAATTACCATATTTTATCCATAACCTACTGAAGAGAAAAAATAGTTGTTTATACCATATAGTTACTATGGTAGCTTATAGTTACTACTTCTATTGGATTGCAACCCCTGGGGTAATTACATTATATTAAAGACACAGCAATAGTGTCAGATGCAGCAGATTTCATAACACCTGGTAAAACTTTGTTGCCCATTTACAGCTCTCATACATTACAAAAATTAAAAGAAGAATAGACTTGGGCCCATTGGTGTGTGTGCTCCATTGCATGCAAGGTTTCTGTATTTATAACCACCTCAGAATATATTGGGGGTCGCGACTCACTGGCATTGTCATTTTGGGGGTCGCGGCCTGAAAAGTTTGGGAACCCCTGTATTAGGCTATATGACGGAACCATTTTAAAAGGTGTAAAAAACACAATGACTGGTAGCCAGTTTTGAGGAAACACGACACAGCTGGGTTAGTTGTAACAGGGTGTTACAAATACGCCACACACTGCTAGACTCCAATTAAACAAATAAAATAATTGTTCATTTGTGAGTGTAATAATGATAACGGTTTAAATAAAAAATGTTTTTAATAGAAAATATTTTTAATAGAACTAAATACATTTTATTGCTAACAATGCAAATAAATGCATTGTCTAATAATGGATAATAATGCAAATAAATCTGAACGTTTTTATCCAACAGATAAAAAATAAAGGTAACAAACAATTGACATAAAAAGCATAAAATTGAGTTAAGTACTAAGTTAAGTTCTGAGAAAATATACCATTTAAAGTAAACCGAATTTAAATTAATTGTGTGAAATCTGACTTCATAAGCATGTGTTAGCCCTCTGTCTGTTACAACTTGCCCCGCAGGTGGGGTGAATAGTAACATTTTTACTTCTGGCACTTTTGGATATACTGCACAGAAACCATAGGTCTGGTGATCATACAACCAGCATTTGTAGGAAAGGCTTGGGTGTTATTGGTAAAAAAAAAAAAAAGGTTTGTCTAACCCTATAACTTTGCTCATTATTTGGCCAAAACCAAAAAGAATTACTTTGTGCCCCGGTCTCCCCTGAATCATGAGTAATTTTTATTTTATTAAGTTGTTTTTTTAAGTAAAGTATCCCTTCAATATCTGAAGTAATGTTTTAATTGTTTGCTGATCTATAATAATAACTTAATATTTTTGACTTTAAAAATAATTTAAACATCTATTTTACACCCCTGATAAAACCAAAAAAAAATCTTGAGAGAACAGGAGCAACAACTGAATCTCTTGGGTTTTGATGCCACAAGTTATTGATGTTAAAAATATACTACATATTAACTTGATTACAGATAAGCACTCATCTGCTTCTATATATAAACTCCAAAAGTCTTTCAGGTGTTTAAAAACAAGATTTCCCCAAAATCCCACAGACCTGATGCTTCTAATCACGTTGGTGTGAAGCTATTCCCGGTAAACCATAAATAGAGCTGCTGCAACTCCTATATTATGCAACCATTCAGTCAAATTCTCTTAATCCTCATTCAGACAGGAAGGCTTCTGGAAATAACCTGATCACATCAAAGAGAGCTGCCTCCATTGGAAAATATATAACACCCAGTGGCCACTGATGTAAGTCCATGGACACGCAAGGCCATTGTTACAATCAAAATCCGGACCTCTCATCACAGTCAATCTAGCTGTCACATATAAAGCATGGGTTTTTGTGTGACTCTCGTGCGTGGCTAACTTTAAATAATTAATAGTGTTGACATCAGAGAGAGGTTGCTCCGTACTCTCACCTGAAAGGATATGGGATCCTTTGATCCATCCTCCGTATTTTCGTTCTCGTCCTCATTTTCATAACTTCCGTTGGCGAAGTAACCCTCGTCGTGCCGACAGGCCTGGAGAAGATGCCTCAGCTGTCCCCACATCAAGTAGGGAGGACGCCGAACACTCGGTACCACAGAAGAGGGCCAGACCACCCACTTTAAGATGAGTCTGTTACATGACATCCCTCACATTAAAAGCCCTTCCATGCTGGCAAAGAACCGACATGTTCCCAAAAGCCCAAAGCCACGCGGTTCCTCATGGTTCGTGGCAGTTTCACATCTCCGGTCAGCTGTCGCCTTGGGAAAAGCAACTTAAACTGGGGACGGCGAATGAAAACAACACTTCTTGGTACTGTATACAGGGCAGAACAGGGATTACACTTGTGCATGTCCCATCGAGACTGATCCCCCGGTGGTTTAGTGCACTTCAAGGGCTTAAGACAGATTAAACACAGGATGTGTGCGCGCGCTTGTCGTTCACAGCCATGAGCGTGTCGTGTGGGAGATGCTTTAAATAAAACAGAAGTATTTATAGATTTGAGTCTATAAGAACTTCTCCCAAGCGATGTGTGGTTTTATTGCATTTTACTGACAATGCACAATGCAAAAACTCATTAAGGGTTACAGTCTTATTTCTAGCAAAAACATTTTTATAATTGCTGTTTTAAGATAATTTTATTTAGTTAGTAATGCTTAGAGTTATGTATTTTACTTGGACATTTAGCTTCAGAGACATAATTTAAGCCCTTTATTTATTCATTCATTTACTTAATTTTGGCTTAGTACCTTGATTTATCAGGGGTCTCCACAGCGGAATGAACCGCCAACTTATCAAGCATATATTTTATGAAGCAGATGTCCTTCCAGCTGCAACCGAGTACTGGGAAACACCCATATACACTCACATGCACACACATACACTACAGCCAATTCAAGTTTATTCAATTCACCTATACCTTTACCTTTGGACTAGGGGAAATCGGAGCACATGGAAGGAAACCCATGCGAACACGGGGAGAACATGCAAACTCTAGTCTTACATTACTAAGATTTTATTTTAGCTGTAACAAGTTATTTCAAGTTTGCCCATACTTGTTCATTGTTGGTGATAATATTCATTCTGTTATGTTCTATTAAGTCTCAGAATTTTGAGAAGCAACAAGTAATAATTTTGCACTGTAAGTATACTATCAAGTCTCAATTTAAATAAAAAAATTGTAGATCCTGATTAAATTCATACAATTTTCTTGTTTAAAGTTTAAATGCTTTTGCTCATTTTAAGACAGAATTATGAGTAATTAAATTAAGAGAAACACTCCAGTATAGTGAGTAGTTTTAAGACATATTACACAAAATAAGAAAGAAAAAGTGTTTAATAGCAAATAACAATCTAAGTTTAAGATAACTTGACTAAATATACTACTTGTAATAAGTCATAGATAGATAGATAGATAGATAGATAGATAGATAGATAGATAGATAGATAGATAGATAGATAGATAGATAGATAGATAGATAGATAGATAGATAGATAGATAGATAGATAATTTATTATTTACTAAATTTTAGGTAAGTTTTCTTATTTCTTATTTTCATTTTTTTGCAGACCAGGAGAAGCATGCAAATGTTTACATTTTAATAACAGATGTAAATTGTATTGTCAAATTAAGCTATATTGTCGGGAAATTATTACTTTTTATTTTAATTAAATGCTATATCTTCAGTACATCTTTTTATTGATTGATTGTAATGTAGTAAATTATAGTTGAGTATTTATACTTCATTTATAACGATTTATTCAAAGCCATTTGTTACAGGTTTTCAACTGTTTTTAAAATATCTCTTTTGTGTTCAACCAAAAAAAAAAAAAGTGAGCGACTCAAAACTGTTTGTAACAAGTGAAAGGACAGTAAATGATGACAAAATTATAATTTTTGGATGAAAATCCCTTGAAGTCAAAACATAATTTTTTTATTATGTCAAGTCTTTCTCTGTAAGTCCTGAGTTAGTCTTAAAAAAATACAATTATATCTACCAATGGGAGGCGACACAGTGGCGCAGTAGGTAGTCCTGTCGCCTAACAGCAAGAAGGTTGCTGGTTCGAGCCTCTGCTGGGTCAGTTGGCGTTTCTGTGTGTTGTTTGCATGTTCTCACTGCGTTTGCAAGGGTTACCTCCTGGTGCTCCAGTTTCCCCCACAGTCCAAAGACGGTACAGGTGAATTGGGTAGTACAGGTGAAATTGTCCGTAGTGTATGCGTGAATGAGTGTGGGTGGATATTTCCCAGAGATGGGTTGCGGCTGGAAGAGCATCTACTGTGTAAAAATGTGCTGCATAAGTTGGCGGTTCATTCCGCTGTGGCGACCCCGGATAAATAAAGGGACTAAGCCAAAAAGAAAATGAATGAATCTAATGAGGTAAAAAAATGTTGAATTAAGTAGATTTTCTTGACCGATTTGAAGATTTTCAAAATCGTATTTCTCATCAGTCAGAAACTGTCAGGGGTGTGAATAATTTCAGGCTTGGTATCTGCTATGTACACAAGTTCACACACCTGCCACACATCATAGACACAAAATGAATGGATACAGTATAGTCAACATGTCAAGGGGCTCGTCAACTTTCATTAAAGCTGTCCTCAAAATATGACTTTGCAGGGTGTATGCAGAGCCGTTCAGAGAAATAAATAAAATCCTCATCACTAGCAAGAAACATTTCTTTAAGGGGTTAATCCTATGCCCCGCTCACATGACAACATCACGTGACACTGGTCCCGTGACGTCTTGTTGCAATTTGACAGCAGAGGAAGCAGGTAAGCGAAGTCAAAAATGTTTTTTTTTATATTTCTGTTGAAGTATCGCTGGTCGGATTCAACAATAATTGTTAGATAACTATTTAGCAACGTCGTAGTGAACGTAGACGCGTGGCGCTTCGTTTCTAACTCGCTGTTTTCGTGCATTAGCATTTGTCAGTGGCTGTGTTCATTCAGTAACGTTAGTTGTTTTGTTAGACAACAGTACAAGATATCGTCACACGATTTAAAAATGCCACGTTTACAACGTTACTTAAAGACATGTTTGGTTAAGCTCAATACAGTATACATTTTAAATGAGCTCGTTTAATTCGCTTTTTAGCCGTTTAACCTTAGCTAGCAGGTAACGACCCTTGCGATGCTAGATTAATTTAATAGACCGTTAACGTTACAGCTTTATAACATCACACGGTCACACAATATACGTGAAATCTTTATTCACGGTTCCTTCACCGTGTTAAATGTCTTTCCTCTTTTCGTAACTAAAGATGCTGCATTATTTGTTATCGTGACCTTTTCAGTTTTAGCACATCACGATTTGATATTGTGTTCATTTTTAAGATCCTTAAATATAAAATCTGAAGATGGACATCCGAGGGGCAGTGGACGCTGCCGTCCCCACCAATATCATTGCAGCGAAGGCCGCAGAAGTCCGAGCAAACAAGGTCAACTGGCAGTCCTACCTTCAGTGAGTACATCTAAATATCACTTCTGCTTCTGTATTTCTCTCATAGACAGCCTCGATGCTCTATTTGTAGGGTGCTTTAGGTTTGGTTTTAATTTGGACATTCTGAGGAAATTAAGAGTGTCTCAAAACATACAAATAAAAGGTACTCATGTGAATAAAGTGGAAAACGCTTGATACATAGTTGTAAGTTGTTAATGAGATTGTTACATTGTTATTATATTGTGCTCCAGTATTTTGATAGAAAAGGTTTTGTACTGGCACAGTTAATATATTCATTAACACTTGCAAAACATCAAACAGTGGAATTTTGAAATGTCATATAGTATATTTTTAATGAATTTTTCAAATGTACAAATCTATGCAACTTCCTAGTCATGTGACCTGGAGGTGTCACAGCAGTTGTATGTTCACGCACACCTGCCACACATCATAAACACAAAAACTGAATTTTGGACATATCATATAGTCTATTTTGAATATGCTTTTTAAATACACAAATCTATACACCTTTCTGGTCATGTGATTTTATGATGTCACACTAGGTTTGTAATATGTTCACACACCTGCCAAACACATCATACACAACTGGATTTCAGAAGTGTCGTAATATGTATTTTTAATGAGTTTTTCAAATATACAAATCGGTATAACGTAATGGTCACATGACTCGATGTCACATCAACTGTAATATTATGCTAAAGGAAGATCACCAAATCATTATTTATTTTATTGAAGATCATTTCATAATGCCATCACCAAGTCATATACAATTGAAGACAGAATCATTTGCCCCCTATGATTTTATTTTTATTTTTTAAATATTTTCCAAATCCCAAATTTTCACAGTATGTCTGATAATATATTTTTTCTTTTTTTAGAAAGTCTTATTTGTTTTATTTTCACTAGAATAAAAGCAGTTTTAATATTAAAAAAATCATCTTAAGGTAAAAAATTATTAACCCCTCTAAGCTATATTTATATTTGATAGTCTACAGAACAAACCATCATTATACAATAACTTGCCTAATTACCCTAACCTACACAATTATTCAGTTAACCTAGTTAAGCCTTTAATTGTCACTTTAAGCTGTATAGAAGTGTCTTGAAAAATATCTAGTCAAATATTATGCACTGTCATCATGACAAAGATAAAATAAATCAGTTATTAGAAATGATTTATTAAAACTATTATGTTTAGAATGTGTTGAAAAAATCTCTCTGTTAAACAGAAATTGGGGAAAAAATAAACGGGCTAATAATTCACGGGGGCTAAAAATTCTGACTTCAACTGTATATTTATATATTGTATATTACTTGCTGAATGAATGTCAAATTTTTCACTGATGATCATCAAAGTAACTAAATCAATGAGCATTGTTCTTATTATTAATTTTAATATTGTGATTTTTTTGTGATCTCAATGAGATGTGTCATGGTTTGTGACTATTACTGTATGTAATTATTACATATCAACGAATGGTGAACGAATAAATATCCAATTTTACTGCACCTCTTTGTAGGCAGATTGAAAATTTTGAGACACTATGGGAAAAAAAGCAAAATGGGCTGTGTGCCTTTAGAATATTCACATTTATCCTATGATAAAGATATGATTGGCTTCAATAAAGATGTAGTTGAGGGGCACGGTGGCTCAGTGGCTAGCCCTGTCATCTCACAGCAAGAAGGTCGCTGGTTTGAGTCCTGGCTGGGCCAGTTGGCATTTCTTTGTGGAGTTTGCATGTTCTCCCCATGTGCGTGTGGGTTTCCTCTAGGTCAGGGGTGTCCAAGCTCCTGGAGGGCTGGTGTCCTGCAGAGTTTAGCTCCAACTTGCTTCAACACACCTGCCAGGAGGTTTCTAGTATATCAAGTAAGAGCTTGATTAGTTGCTTTAGGTGTGTTTTATTATGGTTGGAGCTAAACTCTCCAGGACACTGGCCCTCCAG